TTATTATTGCTTTATAATACATCTCAAAATTGAATAGTTTTGTCCTCAATGTGTTTCTTTTTTTCTTTTCTGCTTTTTTTTTTTTTTTAGACAGAGTCTTGCTCTGTCACCCAGTCTGGAGTGTTAGTGCCACAATCTCAGCTCACTGCAACCTCCACCTCCTGGGTTCAAGCATTCTCCTGTCTCAGCCTCCCAAGGAGCAGGATTACAGGCACCTGCCACCATGACTGGCTAACTTTTTGTATTTTTAGTATAGATGGGGTTTCACCACATTGGCCAGGCTGGTCTTGAACTCCTGACCTCCAGACCTCAAGTGACCACCCTCCTCGACCTCCCAAAGTGCTGGGATTACGGCGTATAAACCACCACGCCTGGCTCATATTTCTTATTTTAAAAAATTTTTAGGTAAATTTTAGATTAACTAGTCTGTTTAAAGATTGAGTTGCTCCAGAAATTTTGATTGGGATAGTGATACTCTATAGATAAATTTGAGGAGAATTGGCAATGTTGAGTCTTAAGGTCCATGAATATGGTATATCTCCCTATTTCTTTAGGTCTTCTTTAATTTATCTCAGCAGTATTTTGCAGTCTTCCTGCTCCCTTTCTCTTTTCCTCATATGAGGACCACCCATAATTTTTTTTTTTTTTTTTAAATGGAGTCTTGCTCTGTTGCATAGGCTGGAGTGCTGTGGCATGATCTCGGCTCATTGCAACCTCCACCTCGCCTCCTGAGTTCAAGTGATTCTCCTGCCTCAGCCTCCCAAGTAGCTGGGATTGCAAGTGTGTGCCACTGTGCCCAGCTAATTTTTGTATTTTTAGTACAGATGGGGTTTCACCATGTTGGCCAGGTTGGTCTTGAACTCCTGACCTCCAGCGATCCACCTCCCTCAGCATCCCAAAGTGCTGGGATTACAGTGTGAGCCACTGTACCGGGCCCATATTTTCTATCTTTTAGTGCTGGATTATGTTTTCCCCCATCTGTATTTGATCAGATATTCAACCTGCCTTTTAAGGTTTGATTTTACTGTGATTTTAATTCTCTAGATTTCTAATGGAATCTTTGTCATTTGTCCTATTCTTATTTCATGACTTCCTTTTTTTAAGCAGTTTTTATTTATTTATTTATTTATTTATTTATTATACA